GTAGAGAGAAGGGGACAGAGACAAGAAGTGTCATGGAGGTGGAATCAAGACTTGCTGATTAAGTGAATAGGTGTAGTATGGGAGGCAGGAACCAAAATGATAGCTTTCAAACTTAGGTGAATAGAAATTCACCCTCAACAGAAATATGGAAATTTGGAAGTGGGGTGGGTTTGAGGAGAAAAATGAGCTCTGTTTTAAACATGTTGAATTTGAGATGAATATGTGACTCCTGGGTCAAAATCACCAAAAAGCAGTTGGTGAGGCAGGGCTAGAACTCAAGAAAGAGGCCATGGCTAGTTATACAGATCTGCAGTCATCTGTATAGGAATGATAAGTGAATTCACAGAAGATGAGAGAAAAGTATCGAGAAGAGAGTCCAGGAAAGAACCTTTAATCTAACTATCCTGGAGGCAATAGGGAATTGGTTTTTTGTTTTGTTTTGGTTTTTTCAATTGTATCTGACTCTCCATGACCCCATTTAGGGTTTTTTTGGAAAAAATAATGGAGTGGAGGCAGCTAGGTGGTGCAGTGGATAGAGCACTGGCCCTGAAGTCAGGAGGACCTGAGTTCAAATCCGGCCTCAGACCAACACTTGACACTTAACTAGCTGTGTGACCCTGGGCAAGTCACTTAACCCCAATTACCTAAAAACTTAAAAAAAAAGATAATGGAGTGGTTTGCCATTTCCTTCTTCAGCTCATTTGACAGATGAGGACACTGAGGCAAACAGCATGAAGTGACTTGCCCAGGGTCACACAGCTAGTGTCTGAGGCCACATTTGAATTCAGGTCCTCCTGATTTCAGGGCTGGCACTCTATCCACTGCACCACCTAGCTGTAGGGAGTGGGAAAAAACAATGGTTAAGGGGTAGGATATGGATGCTATCCAGCAAAGCTGACTAAGAAGGAACAGAACAAAACTCAAGAGAGAACAGCATCATGAAAACCCAGTAAGGAGAGGGTAGTCAGCAGTGTCAATGCTGCAGAGGTCAGGAAGGATAAGAATGGAGAAAAGGCCACTGAATAAAGCAATTTAGAAAGCAAGCAAGCAATTTCAGTGAAGTGAGGAGATTAAGTCACTCTTATAGCTCAGGAGCTGACCTCCAACCTTACATCTCCAACTGCTTTTCAGACATTTCTAACAAGATGTCTTGGATCATGTTCAGTAGGTATCACCATATTCAAAACTAAACTCATTATCATTCCCCTTAAATCCTTCCACAATCCTTACTTCCCTATTACTGTAGGGGACACCACCAACCTCCCAGGCCCCGAGGCTCACAAGCTAGGAGTCATCCTCCCTTTCAAAGGCCGGTCAATTTCACCTTTGCAATGCCCCCTCCTCTCCTCTGACCCTGCCACCTCTCTAGTGCAGGCCCACATCACCTCTCACTTGTACTATTGCAGCAGTCTATTGGGGGGTCAGCCTGTCTCAAGTTTCTCCCCATTCCAATCTATCCTCCATTCAGCTACCAATGATTTTCCTAAAGCACTGGTCCATATCACTCTCCTACTCAGTAAACTCCAGTAAATATCAAATCCTCCCTTTGGTATTCAACGCCTTTCAAAACCTAGCCCCCCCCTACTTTTCAAGTCTTCTGAAACCTTCCTCACAAATAGGTCCTCTTCAATGCAGTGACACAAGTCACCCCATCCCTCCACTCGACACATTCTCTCTGGCTGCCCCTCATGCCTGGAATGCTCTCCCTCCTCAATTCTGACTAGTGTCTTCCCTGGCTTAAGTCCCAACTAAAATTCCATCTTCTAGGAAGCCTTTCCTAACCCCTCTTAATTCCAGTGCCTTCCTTCAATTATTTCCTATTTATCCTGTATGTAGCTTGTTTGTACATATTTTTTTGCTAGTTTTCTCCCCCATTAGATTGGAAGCTCCTTGAGGTCAAAGACTTTCTTTGAACTCTTTCTATCTCCTCAGTGCCTGGCACATAGTAGGCACTTAATAAATATTTATTGATAGTTCCATGTACCTGTAATGCTACTTCTCCCAAACTCTTAACCTCGATGGGTTATTTTTCAAAGCTCAGAGCAAATTCATTTCTCCCAAGTTGAATAAATCATTGAATCCCACCTTTTAGGTAGGCTGCAGGTAGGAGCAAAAGGGAGTGAGGCAGCAGGGCATCAGACCAACCATTTGCTATAAATAAGCTTCCCTTCAACAAAATTCTCAGTACAAAGAGAGCAGGGGATAGAAATAAATTTGTAAAGTGTGTTCAGAGACTTACCCGTAGTCCTCAATTGCCTCATGAAAACATATGTTAACCTTCTCTCATTTTCATAGCCTCTGAGCAAACTTTTGTCAATGCCACCTTTTTTCTCTCAATCATCACATTTTTCTTAATGCCACCCTCCAACCTGGCACTCCCTGCTTCTCCAGCTCCAACTCCCTATTTTTTTAATTCTGAATTTAACACCAAATGATTATTTCCATATACATGGTAGAACAGAAAGAGAATTGTATATGAAATTAAAAATCTCTGTGACATATAGCTTGTTTTTCTTTTTTTTTTTTGGCAAGGCAATCGGGATTAAGTGATTTGCCCAGCTAGTAAGTGTCAAATGTCTGATCTGAGACCAGATTTGAACTCAGGTCCTCCTGACTCCAGAGCCGGTGCTCTATCCACTTTGCCACCTAGCTGCCCCTTGTTTTTCTTTAAAAATATAAACTCAACATGTAACTTTCAAAGCTGCCCTACTTGTTTGTGATTCCTTCTGGCCCTGCTTTTCTCTTCTGTGCATTAAAAAAAAGTCAATGACCCTCTCTTTGGGGAGGGGTGACAACAACTCTATCCCTATATTCCTCTCACCCTCACCACCATCCCTCATTTGGGGGGGGGGGGCAAAAACCCCTTCTAGCTACAAGTCTCCCTTTCTGAGAGGGACAGTCCAAGAAACTCTCTAATATTTACATACTATCATATAAGGATTCTTAACTAGAGATCTGGGGAGTAAGCAGAGTAGAGTTTTAAGGACCTGGAGCCTGTACTTGAGATCCAGAATATCTGAAAAGCTCCAGCTCTACCACTTACTAGCTGTGGGCAAGTCACTTCAATCCTGTTTTCCTCATCTTTTCTTAACCTGTAAAAGGAAGCTGAATGAGATAATCTTTAAGACTTTTTTTCTAACTTTAACATTTTATAATTATGTAATTACTACTTAATGCTTTTCCATTTGAGACAAGAAAGCAGTTTTAATCGGTATTATGAAAAGCAATTCACTAGAAGGGAAGAAGAGACCTGGCTTTTACTCCACTCTCTGCTCCTCCCCAGTCACTGGCTTCATGGTCTTGGGTAGGGGTGGGAAACCTTTGGCCTCCAGGCCATATGTGGCCCTCTAGGTCCTCAAATGTGGCCCTTTGACTGACTCCAAACTTCACAGAACAAATCTCCTTAATAAAAGGATTTGTTCTGTAAAACTTGGACTAAGTCAAAAGGCCACACCCAAGGACCTAGAAGACCACATGTGGCCTCGAGGCCAAAGGTTCCCTATCCAGGTCTTGGGCATCATTTAATCTAAGGTTCAATTGCTTCATATAAAATGTATATGGTGTCACTTAGGTAATTTATTAAAGTCTATTCCAGCTTCAAAATTAAGATTTTATGATCAGTATAGCAGAAGGTGTTCAAAATCCTTTAGTCATAAAACAGTATATAAACATAAGCAATTATTAACAGATCCATATCATCACATCTATCATTTAAGACTTTTCATCAACTGCCCCCCTACTTATCCAACTTTATTTCTCAATATTACCAAAGGCCCTCCACTTAGTAATCTAACTTTACCACCTTCCCTTTCATTCCTACCTCTGTACTTTGGTCTGTTGTCTCTTTACTTCAATCTCAGATGTCTGCCTCATATTTTTATAGCACCTTAAGGTCTGCAAATTGCTTTCCTCACTTTATCTTCATTTTACATATTAGGAAATTGAAGCTCTTAGATGAAGTCATTTGCCTTTGGTCACACAACTAGGACGTGTCTGGGTAGGATTTGAATCTAGGTCTTGCCTGACTTGAAGTCCAATCTTATCTTACACCATGCTCACTTACTTCAAGACCCACATCAAGATTTATTATCTTTAAAAAACAGAACAAAAAACCTCTCCCTGACTAACTTCACCTTTTATTAATCACTCCCTTAGCACTAAGGGATATCATATATTTAGAAACTAGTATTGGGACAGCTAGGTAGTGAAGTGGATACAGCATGAATGTTCCCCACCCCCATCTCTTCTCAGAATCCCTTTTTCTTTAAAGCACAGTTCAGATGTGATCTCCTACAAGAGACCTTTCCAGATTCTCCCTTTTTAAATTACTTTTATTTTCTTATTTGTTTACATGCTACATCCTCCCCAGCAGAAAGTTACTTTTCTTTCGGGTCTGATTTAGCTTTTGTATGCCCAAGCACCTAGGTGCTGAATAATAATGTTGGATTATTATTATCAGTAATATTTATGTAGTGTTTAAGAATTGCAAAGTATATATGTTGTTTTAATTGCTGAAATGTATATACCATCTTGTCAATGGAACTCCTTCCACTAAGGCAGATCACAACTCTAATCCATTAAGATTTGAATGCTTGAGTCTTGGAGAAGTTAAGCTACTTGCCAATGGTAACACAGTAAGCAAGCATCAGAGGCCAAATTTGAAGAGGGGTCTTTCTGACTTCAAGTCAGGCAGAGTATCCACTAAGACAGGCCATGCCATTCATATTCTCAAACTGTTTTATGAGGTTATGTCTTACACTGTAGGATCCATGGGGACAGGAACAGCCTGTTTGCTTTGTTTTATATCACATACAACTGGGCTGTACTTATGACCAATAAACATTATTCACAGTTGAACTTTAGATGAACTTCTTCCCTCAACCTCTTTAGGACCAAGGGTACTACAGGTTTAAAACTTATCCAGATACATGTTAGGGACAAAGAAAAGAATCACCTTCCGGATAATCTGGGGGAGCAGCTGCTGATCTCCCAGCAGTTACCTGTTCAGGGTCCTGTATGCACCTTCCACATTCCCTTCCTGCACCATCACAGTCCTGGCAATGAACTTCAGGTGGTTTGCCATGATCTTGGGACAAAGTTGTCCTTGTAAGCAAAGGAGTTTTCGACTAAAGCAGCTGAAGGGTGGGTGTGTGGGGCGGGGACAGTGGGGAGACGGCTGCCAGCTGGAGAAATGGAAATGAAATCCAGATAAATAAAAATAAAAAGATCCAGTGAAATCCAGGATATGCTTACAAACAAGGACCGCAAAGCGTTCTAAAAATGGGTGCCTGAGGGCTTGATGGAGCACGTGAAGGTCCGCACATGCTGGGCACAGCTTGGGACGTGACGCATCTAGCAAGACCCAGGGTTTGGCCGAGCTTAGAAGGGCGGACGGGAGAAGAGATGATGACGGAACTCCACCCCACGGCCGAAAGGCGCACTCGTGGTCGCGACCACCCTTCTAGCTCCGCTAACCCACCCTCCGCCCCGGGCCTGGTCTGCTTTTGTAAGGGGAAAGGGACGGTTTCTCGGGGCCCCCTTCGTTCTCCCCATCTTTTTCCACCCCAGGAACACAGCTCCTCAACCCGCGTCCTCAGGGACTGACCGACCTCTAGCCTGCGTCGCGACCGGAAGCGGAAGCTGGAATTCCCCCAACAGAAAGGGACGGAAGAAAAGAAGCGGCAGGGGCCGGCGAGAGGCCGGGAGCGGGGCGGAGCTGCGCACGCGCGCTCGCGCCTGGCGAAACCATGGCAACCTTCTGGTACCCAGGTCTGTAAGGCGCTAGCCCACGGAGCGAGAAGCTGGAATGTCGCTCCTGGACGCCAGCCCCTGCACCGTCCTGGCCCGCGTCTTCAAGAAGGCTGCATGCCCTCTCTACTCTCGCTACCCATTTCTTTCCCTCTTTCAGGGGAGTTGACAGGACCAGGGACCTCCTGTCACCCCCCTTAGTCTCAGAAAGGAGTGTGAGAGATCGAGACAAGCGGTGCATGCCAGGCCTCTCCTCTCCCACTAGCCCTGCCCCCAACTGCTATCTAGTATTCATCGGGCGCCTAATTTGTGTGCCGGGGTTGCACGTACAAAGGAACAGGTCCTCTTCCAAAGACTGAAGTGTAATATGCCCATGATGAGCCTGCTCTCGGCATTTTTCCCAAAACAGGGATATTTTGAACCAAATAATCAGTTCTGATAGTTGCTTTCTTTCCCCCCTCAGTCTGACTTTCAGTTCTTGGACAGTCTTTAGGTTACTGCTTCTTCTTCTTTTCTCTCTCTCTCTCTCTCTGTCTCTCCATAAGAAAACTTTCACTCTGTGGCATTCAAACTCCACCTCTACTATCTGTCAAGGGTTACTGAGTCACAAAGGGACCCTCCAAAGTTAATGGGAGAAGGAGATAAAAAAGAAAAGATTCCCTCCCTAAAGCAACTACTTAATTACAAGGACTATTACCTCCCCCAAGGCATAAACACAATACACATACCGGAACAGAGATCTATTCTGACAGATGTAGACAAATATAGCAGGGGTCTCTCCAAGATGGCAAAAGGTGGAAGCAAAATGGCCAAGTTCCCTCACTACTCCATCAAGAATTTTAAAAAACTAGCATCAGGGCAGAGTAATGATTTTTCTAAAAATCCAAAGAGAACCTACAGTTAAGTTCATTTTTGCCAGCTCAAATCCATAGAGACAGCCAGAATCTTATGGATATAGAGAAAAGGTCCGTATAGAAAGCCTCTGTCTAGGTGCTCATCTCAGAGAAGCCTTCCATCTCAGGGACCAGGAAGGAGCATGCCAAGGGATCCTAGAGCTTGAAGCTATGTATTGGGGACAGAGAGATGGGAGACCAGCCCAGGGTCTTAGCCAGGATTCCTAGCCTGCTACTGTGTTAGAACCCCAAAGTGGGACTCAGGAATAGAAGTCTGCAGAGGTCAAACTACTCCAGGCCTTTGCAGCAGGATAACCAGTGGTCCATGAACACAGCACTCATAAGCCTAGCTAACACAGATCAGAACTAAAGAAAGCCCTAAAAATTCCAGAAATTACCAGAGCTTGGAGCAAAGTCACAATTCAGGAAACTAAAAGCTGGAATAGTGAGTATAACCTAGGAAAATAATAACAATAGACAAGCACATCAGAAAGAACATACATGTTTTGAATTTCCAAAGAAAGCCAGGCCCCAAACACAAAGAGATCTCAATTTTTCCAGGCCAAGGCATCAGCATAATGAACACTTATTAGACATTTACTCTTCGAGGTATTATGCTGGCTACTAAAAGACCCGATACATGACAGACCTTGCCCAGGCAAGTCTTACACATAAAAAATAAATAATACAGATAGTGCCAAATGACATATGGAGGCTATGAATGATAACTAGTTAGTACAGTAGAAAAGGCTGGACTGAAGTCAAAAGACAGATTATGGTTCCAATTTCATCATTTGACCTGGACAAGTAATTTCTTTGGGCTTTAGTTCCTTCATCTATAAAATGCCAACATTGAATTAGATGAACTTAAAAATCCCTTCCAGTTCTAAAATTTTGTACTTTTCTTTGAGTTTCAGGGGAAAGGAGGAATTCCCAGTGTAGATAGTCAGCAGTCAGAAATGTGGGATTGGCATTCGGAAAGAAGGTCAGATAAAGATCTGAGATTCACCTGAATAGAGGTGAGAGTTGAAAGTATAAAAGTGAATTATCTGAGGTAGTCTAGAAAAAGAGCCTTGGGATGTCCCCACTTTTGGGAGAAAGAAATAGAATCATGAAACAAGAATGATCAGACAGCTGAGAACTAAACTATTACTGCCTTATAGATGCCAAGAAGTGCTCAAAAATTAAAATTGAATTAAAAGGAGTAGTCAATAGAAATGGAATAGTAGAGATAAAGAAAAATGATTTTTTAAAAAAAAGTTATTGAAAGAGGAAGTTTGATTAAAAGACCTCCAATGTGCTTTCCAACTCAAGATTCTACGAGGCCACTGCCTGCCTGAAAGGGTGGAGAGACAGTAAAAAGGATAAGATTCTTCTTGCCTTCCAAGAAAGGCAATACCTGAGCCCCTTTGCTCAGGCAGTGAGGGAGGTGCCAATGAAAGAAAAACTGAGAATCCAGGAAAAGTAATGAGGGAATAAGAGGATGAACCAAGATAAAGGGGAATGGGAAAAAGCCACCATTTTCAGAGAGGATGAGGCACACTTATTCTGCCCTTGATTTTCAGTCAAATAGTTCTCAAAGTCATCCACAACAAAGAGGATAGACAAGAAGGGAAGGGGGAAATGAAAGATTTTTCTATGTTTTCTTTACTCTAGTCTAGACTTTGAAGTGCTACCATGAGGTATGTTCACACAGGGCAGGCTTCAACAGGAGGCTGAACCTGATAGAACAAGAACTCAGGTTGAGAAAAGTAGATGTATGATTGTTCATAACTACACTTTGCTTCTAAGTTGGAGGGGAGCATAGCTAGATGGCTCAGTGGATAGAGTGCTGGGTTTGCAGTCAGGAAGACCCGAATTCAAATTGGGCCTCAGACATTCACTAGCTGTGTGACCCTGGGCAAGTCACTTAACTTCTGTTTGCCTTAAAAGCCACTAGAGAAGGAATGGCAAATCACTCCAGTATCTTTGCCAAGAAAACCCCATGGACAGGACTGGCATGCTAGGTCCAGAGTCACAAAGAGCTGAACAAGAAAATAGAGAGCCTTTCCCTCTTCCTACATCTAGCACTTAAAACTCATACCTGAGGGAACTCCTGACAATTCAAGATTGCTCCTCCCTCTTTAGGAACTGACGGCCAACCGTGGGTGTTCTAAGCTCTTACTCCTTACCTTGGCAACAATTACATGAGACTCACCTCCCCCACACACACATACACACCCCAAAACATCAACAGCCTACTGTAAATGGCCAGCTCACAGTAGAAGCTGCTGTTGATCTGGGTCAGTGGAAGATAACAAAAAATGAGGATGGTAGTCCTGGAATTAATTAGAAACAAACCAAACAGTGAAACACACAATTTAACTGAGAGTTGTCCTAAAAAGATGCCTTTGAAGGGAGTGTCAACCTATAAAATCCCTTCTGCTTGTACTTGCCAGTTAAGAAGAAAAGATTGGTTGGAGGTAGTGTGTGTGTGTGTGTGTGTGTGTGTGTGTGAGCGAGAGAGAGAGAGAGAGAGAGAGAGAGAGAGAGAGAGAGAGAGAGAGCGCACAAGCGAGCTCAAGTGTACAGTAAGGAACCTTTGCACAGGGTAGCAAAAAAAAATGGTACAAGAGTGTTTTGCTTCCTCAAATCAACAAATAATTCAGGTGTAAAATTACTTTAATCAGAGAGGGTTTCTATCCCCTCAGCACAAATATACACACTTCAAAAAATAAAATAAAAAAACACACATAAAATAAAAACCAGAGCAGAGAGGATAGTCCTATAGTTGGGATGGGGAGAATGGGACATCAGCAGAAATGAAGCGCCTGTTTTTCATCCATTATAGTTGTCATCTCCCTAGCTGCAGTGGGTAAACAGGGTGAAGATAGGGCACGGCTCCATTCTGAGGTCAGTGGGGTGGATGCTAGAGAAACTGGCAAACTGTAGCAACGAGGCCCTTCTTCAGGGAGGTTCTTAGGACCATCACAGACAACAGGAGACACTGTAGCATCACGGACAGGAGTGGTGGGCGCTGAATAGGCAAAAGATTGTGCTCCATGCTGAAGGAAGAGGATAACCCCAAATCTGGCCCCAGGACCCAGAAGACCATGGCTGAAGGTAGCTGAGCCAAGGGAACTGAGAGGTGGGTTGCAAATAGGGGATGTATGGATCCATGTCAAGTTCATGGCTGGCCATTCTGGGAGGAGGTGGGGCAACTCTTGTTCTTGAGAATGCAACTTCTCTTTTCCTTGATCCTGCTGTCTTAGTTGAATCTGGTTTAACTCCTTTCTGGGGAGATGAGCTAAGGGACCAGTTGGGTAGGTCTGGCTGCTGGCCAAGCGCTGGGAATCAGAAGGATTGAGGAGAAAGTAGTGAGTGAATAAGCCATCAAGAGCTGATTTTTCTCTGGAGATGGAAAGAGGCAACAGGAGACCCTCAAGCCAGGTCCCCAACCCTCTCAAGGACAGCGTAGCTTCCCTGACCCCCCGAAATTGCAATCCTTTACTCTGTATTCTACAAGCATTTCCAGTTCTCAATGTATAAAAAGGCACATCTCGCTGGTGTGATAGTTTTGAGAAGTTGTAGGGTCATAGATTTAGATATAGAAAGAACTTCAGAGGTCACCCAGTTCAGGCCCTCCTTTTAGAGATGGGAAAGTGAGACCCAAAGAAGTTAAGGTGACTTGTCCAAGGTCACACAGTGTGATAAACCAAATTTTTGCAATCTGAGTCTGATTTTTAAATGTACCGTGGAATCATATTATTTATAGGAATTCTGTGGTAAATCCACTTATTTTAATAAAAATAACAACCCTAGGGGCAGCTAGGTGGCGAAGTAGATAGAGCCCTGGTCCTAGAGTCAGGAGGACCTGAGTTCAAATCCAGTCTCAGACCAGACACTTGACACTTACTAGCTGTGTGACCCTGGGCAACTCACTTAACCCCAATTGCCTCACCAAAAAACAAAAAAAACCCCCAAAAAACAAAACCTTAACATGTTCTTAAGCAAAATCAGGTTAGAGGAAAGAAAGATCTTTTTATTTCTTAATCTTTTTGCCTGGACATCTGACTAAGGAAAAGACCCATTTTACCTACTATCTGCTCAAGAAACAAGATCAACAGTTGTAATGGGAAGAAAAAGATTAGACATCAGAAAACTTCCCAGTGATAAATATAAACCAATGCATAAACTAGGGGTGGAGAGACAAGCAATTCTCTTCCTGGAGATGCCCATATCAATGAGGAAGGGTTAAGGGATAAAAAGGAAGAAAGGATCCCACTGTATATACAGTCCTCCCATCCTATCTTATAACTTTTAAGTTCTCACCTTAGATTGAAACCTGTGCTTCCCATCTTCTGAGGGTGACCTCTGGGAAGCTATGTGAGGGAACCAGGTCTTCAACATACTCTCTACTTGTAGCAAGGTCCCTAGATAACGCTCACTGCAAAGGCAAAAAGAAAAAAAAATTTAGAAGAGCAGTTAGAGATTTCAGAAGTAGAAGGAAAAAGAAAACAAGATTAGGGAGACATCACACTTTTATTTGGGTCAGAGAAAGAAAAAGCAGGGCAACTTACCCCATCTCGGGCTTCTGTAGGACACCTACAATACGCTGAATCCTGTCCATTGCCACACTCTGTTGAAAACTACTTAATCCTAAATGTAAATGAGAGAGAGGGGGAAAGAGATACCAAAGATTGAAAGACTCCAGTCTAGAAAAGAGAGAGGAAGCGAATAAATTTCTGGCCTGTTGGGAGGAAATAAGGAAGGGGAAAAGGGGGGCACTTCTATTCCATAACAAAGCCTTCAGAGGACTAAGATACTCAGGATTCCAGGCGTTTAGCCTGGTGAAGCTATAATACTTAAGGATAAGATGAAGTAGGGTTATTTTCAGGTATTGCAACTATTCCAGGGACAAAAAGGAAGAAGTCACACTAGCCTAATTCCATTCTGGCAAAGACATGGATACAGACTGAATGAGTAACACAGCGGAACAGATGGACAAAAATAGATAACCACCTCTCTCATAGCGGCCCATCTTCAGCCCATTCAACAGGTCTGTGAGGGGGCGAATGAATCCTTGGAGCTCTTTACACTATAGAGAAAGAGATCAAAGAGTGTAAGCCGACCCTAGCACAATATAAATTATTCTTTCAAATCTAGGAGCTATGACCAAAGATGGTCAATAACACAACCCAGTTAGAATCACTAAACTACTTCAGAACATACACAAAATAATAGGCCTCCAGACTTCCCAGTTCTTCCCCCTTCTTATTTTTACCTTCTGAGCAAAGAGCCGATCTCCTTCTGTACTAAGGTTCTGGGTGTTGAGACAAGTCTCCTCCTCACTGTCTCTTGATCTTTTCATTCCTGAACCAGCCATGGGGGAAGCGAAGCCAGGTCCTTCTAGGCAAGATGAAACCTGATGACCACTGGAACTCAGGGGCCGACGGCAACATCGAAGAGGTCCTGGCCGCTGACTTCCCCTCTGCCAACCAGCCTCTGACCTGGACCCGTGAGCCCCCCTGCACTCCCCCTCACTATCTGAGGAAAAGCCAAAGTCGCTGAGGGCACTGTCCACCTCCGAGGGGGAAGAGGAAGAAGAGAGGGAGGAAGAGGAATAGAAGGAACTACTAGATGGAGACTCCATGTTTCCAGGGAAGCTGGGGATGGACGTTAGTGTTGAATTAAGAGCAGATGCTGTAGTACGTTTGAACCTGCAACTTAAGAACAAAGGAGGAGTTTGCGTGTTAGGTCTGGGGAATTGATGGAGTGGAACAGAGTGGAAGAAGCGGAATTAGGGCATTGCTCCCCCCCCCCCCCCCGCAACTCAAAATTATCCTTGAGGCAACAGAAAAGTCACCCCGTCATCTATGTTGGAAGGGGCTGGGAGTGACTCAAAAGCTCCCCCGGAGAAGCCGCCTCCAGAATGATGGAGGCTTCTCTATCCTCTCTTTCCAAAGTCGAAAGGAAAATTTTTGATCAGATCCACCACCACATCTGCCCTCCCACAAGCTGCCGTCCCACGTCTCCTGGGGCTGTCGCTCCTACTCTCCTCTAACTCCTGGTCAAGCTTGTGCCGGCCTCTCCAGGTGGGGGCCAGGTGCAGGGCAGTGTAAGCAGCTGTGATCCGGGGACGGACGCCCAGTGCCTTCCACTCACACTCGCGGAGGCCCCTCCGAAGCCCAAGAAGGGACACGGCTCGCCCCCGCCCCCCGTCAATCTCTTCTAAAATCGGGTTCCCTATCACTGACCTCTTCCAGTCCGTCTCAGCCTCATAACGCATCCCCACCCAGTGTCATCATCTGATCCCTCCCTTTCTCAAGACTCTTTCTCTCCGAAACCACCCCAAATTAGCTCGTTCTAGGGCCCGCGAAGTGCTCACCAAACCTCCAGCTCCGTCCAAGGCTCTCCCTAGCGCACCTGGTCTACTCTTCCCTCCTCCGCCTTTCCTTAGCCAGGTCCCGCCCCTACCCCATCCCGACACGTGCAGCTCCGCACGTGCCTTCCCCTGCGCACCGGGTTGCTATCCTCCTATTGGCGGGAGAGCCGGGAACACGTGACCTCTGTTCTCCGGCCCATGACGACATCCCCCGTTCATTGGCTAAGCTCTCAGGGGCTCGGCCAATGGAGGGGCGGCCCATCGTTAATTGGCCTGGAGAGACTAATACAGTGCTCCGCCCCTACATGCGGCTTAGAAAGAGGACCCGGTGGCCGAAAGGGGAGGGGGAAGTAGGAAACACCGAAAAGGAGGGCGAGGAGGAGTTGGACTGGCTAAACTTAGGCGGGGAGGTGAAGCGCCCAGGCCCGAGAGACTCGAGTGTGTGGAGCCTGAAGAGAAAGAGCACGCACGCGGCTGGGGGCGGAAGGAGGGCGGTTTGGAGGGCCAAGGACGCCGCGGGTGGGCGAAGGAGGGGGATTCCACAGCAGAGGTGAGGCTCCTGGAATTCCAGGCTCCGCCCCCGGAATTGTCGTCCTGCCCGCCCCCTAAGCCTCTTGCAGTGTGCATGTCAGATGTGCACGTGGAGCCGAGAGAGTCCAGTGTTTGCAACGTGTGGGACCGGTCGACTGTGTGGGACACTGTGTGCTGGGCGTATATAGCCACACTCTCAGGCCTGGGACTCGTGACTCCCCACGTCTCCTCAACCCGCCCCCGCCCCAAGCCGGGTGTCTCGGTGCTCCGCGGGCAGAGCAGGGCGGGGACTAGCGCCGGGAACACCGCGTTCTCTCGCCGGCAGTTACAGCGCTTTTCTTACATAACCCGAGAGAGCACACGTTACACACACTGGTGCCTTGCCTGCCCCACCTCGGACCCCTTGTCAGAGCGCCAGACGGCCTCTCACGCTCCTGTTTTACTCATCCGCCCACTACCTGGGCTGGATCCCTTCCCCGCGTCCCCTCCACGTCTGGATGCTTTCCCCTGGTAGGGGAGAGGGGCAATGGTCATTCTTTTCCCCCTCTGGGTCCTGGAGATGTGCATGATTTTGGGATGTGGGTTTAGAGAGACCGTTTGAAGTGAGATGGCCCGTCTGAACGTGCGGAGCTACCTGGAGCTGAGAAGTTAAGAGGATACTATCGACGTCTCCCCATTCCGAGACAGGAGTGCATAGGGTGCTGTACTTGAAGTCAGAAAGAGTTGGGTTCATATCCTGCCCCTGACACTCACTAGATGTGTGACCCTAGGCAAGGCACGTAATCTCTCTTGGCCTCAGTTGTTCAGTAAAAATGAAGAAGCTGGGCTGTATCTCTAAAGTCCCTCAAATTAAATGACCCTCGTATTCTCATGGGTGGGTTCAGAGTTGGAAGTCGAGTGGGGTGACGGTTTCTGAAGCAGCCACAAGGGGGAAGCACAGTTCCCCTTAGCGTACATAAAGAGGTTAAAAAGAAATATAAAATTCTGCAAGACCGAGATACCGGGGCAAGGATTTTTGTTATATTGACCGTCCGCTTCTCAATGTTTTTTTTTTTTTGTAAAGAAAAAACAAACCCAAACACTTTGCAGGGGGCCATATAGGAAAAGGGAACTGGTTTATGTTTTAAAGCCATTTCCCCTTCCCCAACCCAGACACACAAACCTTCCAACCCCAGATGAAATAAACACGTGGCCTCGAGGCCGCACGTTCCCCACTACTGACTTAGTAACCGAATTGGAAGCAAAGAGAGGATGAAAGTTCGACTCTATATCCAGAACAAGCACATCATTTTGCAGCTAGGAAAGTTGAAAGAAATGTGTCCCCAATTCATTTGAGGATAGTGAGTAGCATAGGGAAAGGAGGTGAGGAGAGTCACGTTGGGTGCTACTCATGGAGAGGAAGCTACCACCTGGTAGCTCAATAATCTTGCTAAGTAGATGCTAAATTCTGGTTTCTAAACTGCTGGATTAAAAGTGCTGTCAGTATCCCTCAAAATTTCAGTGCCTGCATACAAAGCTTTAGTGGCCTGCCCTAGTTAGGGCTCTGTATATATAAACTTCAAAATATGGGAAAGAGCAGAGATTGTAACAGGTAGACAATACATACTGTTTTCAATTCCAAAGAGAAAGGGATGCAAAACATCACAGCTCACTCCCACCCCAATGGCCCAAGAAGCAGTATGATGATCCTCCAAGGGAAGATCATATGGAAGGACAATGAGATAACGTTTGTGGTTCAATTATTTATTTCTTTTTCCAGTTTCTGCACTCCACTCCCCCCCCACCCCCTTTTCAAAGAAGTCATGGCAGCCTTCTCTCTCCTGAAAAGGAAAGAAGGAAAAGATCTAGAGCTGGAAGTTCTTAGAGTTCATCCACTCCAATCCCTCATTTTACAGGTGAGAAAACTTAGGTCTAGAGATTTTTTAAGTGCCTTACTGGATGTTTCACAGGTACTAAGGATCAAGAGGGAAATTTGAACTCTGGTCCTTGGAACAGGATTAGGAACCCAGGCACCCTTTCCTCACTCCAGAATATACATCTGACATGCAACTTTCCTTCACCCTCGATAACATTTCTCCTTTAAGAGGAGGTTCACAGAGATGTGCTGTCCTTCTCCTCAACTTTCATTTCCATGATTTCCTTATTACCAGGAATTCCTTTCTTCAGCTTAACTCCTATCAGAATTTCACCTCCAACTCCCTAGTTGGAATTTCCTTTCTCTCCTCTTTCTTTCTCTACCTCCCTCAACTCTACTTTAACCAATAGGGAATCTCTTTTGCTACTGAACTTTGCCCTTTAACTCTCCAACTCATTAGGAGCCTCACCCACTGCCTATTTGCACCTGCCTCGTCTGGGCCACAACCAGCTGGAAATTGGCTTTAACTCTCGAAGCTGGCAAAGGGCACTCAAGAGGTTATTTTGTCCAGTTTCCTGCATCTGGACTAGGAAGTCCTAAAGTCACCTGAGCCTCCATTTTAAGTTTCATTTCATGACACTCCCAGGACTATCCTACTATCTCCTTGAAACAAGAAATTTTTCCTGTTTTCTAAACACAGTCTCTCCTGTTGTTAGCCTACTCCTTCCATTCACCCCTTCTCCCCAAGTTCCCAGTCCTCCCCACACACACTCCCATCCCCTACCTAGAGATGTTATGCTGAGAACATTGGAAGAGCTATTTTAACCTACCCTGTTTTCTCCCAAGCAGGTGGTTGAGCATAATTATCCTGACCTCTCACCTTCTAAAGTAGCAATATCCACCTCAGCAGAACCCAGGGCAGAAGGAGGAGTGGGAGGTGATGCTGCAGAGTGGGCACAGCAGCATCCATAGCTGAAGGTGCCTAAAACACAAATATATGATCCCTCCACATTCTACCCTACCTGGCTACTGGCAGGCGCATGGGCTTGGAAGCTTACCACACCCGAGAGAAGAGCTTCATCTCAACATGCCTCATTCTCTATACTCACCCTCTCCTTTTTTCTGGGCCCAGATGAAGATGTGTCACTTATCCCCTCTAAAATGAGACTCTGCATAATAGGCCTTAGCACCCTCCCAAATCCTCAGAAACCTCACCTCTACATCTCCCTTCACTCTCTACTAATTCCTCCCCTTCAACTTTCAAACATGGATTCCTTCTTGCTTGAGCCTTTTGTCCCTTCCGGATGCTGTCCCTTCTCTTTTCTCTCTCCTTTCACAACTATATTTCTCAAAAGAGCAGTTAATGTATATTACCTATATTACTTCACAACCCACTTCTTCAGAGGCCCACAATATGGCTTCCACTGCTATTTCCAATCTCTAATGACTTCCTTCCAATTTTAATGGCCTTTTCACAGTTCTTAATCCCCAGTCTTTTTGTAGCATCTGACACCACTGAATATCTCTCTGCTTAAAATTCTGCCCTCCCTTTTCTTCTGGGATGCATTCTTATCTTAGTTCTCCTACCTCTGTGGTAGATTCTTTTCTGTCCCTGGGGCCATCTTCTTTTCCTTCTTGGCCCCAGTTCTTCTCTGTGTATAATCTCTCCTTTGGTGTAGTGGACTGAGTACTGGCCTGGGACATAGAAGATCTGAATTTAATCCTTGGCTCCACTGATGAGTCTCCATGATAGGTAGGGCATTCCTTAGCCTCTCTAAACCTCTCTAAACATCCTTTGGATGTTTCCTTATCCATAAAATGGAAATAATAATCATTATACTACTTACCTTATAAGGTTGTAGAGAGGCTCAAATGATATGATATATGTGAAACACTATGTAAATACAAGCTATTATTATTGGCAAACTCATTTCATGCCTTTAACGATCACCTCATGCCTATGACTTCCAGATCTATATCTCTACTATGACTTTTGTTCTCATTGTTCTTAGGACATTTCCACTTAAAGATTTCCCTCTCACCAGTGTTTATTCACCTTGTCCAAAATCAAACTCATCATCCCCCTTTCTAAACTAAGCCCACTCCCATACTCCCCAATTTTGTCAATTCAAAATAGCACTGATTTTGGTGATTCTCCTGATCACCCCGGGTCAAAATGTACAAGTCATCTTCAGCTCTCCCTCTACCTCATTCCATGCCTATAAAGGCAGATCTCCAAATCCTGTCATTTTTTCCTTTGAACACTCCCTTGAATTTATCCATTCTCCATTCCCACTCTAACCGCCTTAATCTAGACTATCAATTCAGTCAGCCAATAAACATTTATTAAGCATCTGCTATTTTCAAGGCACTTGCTAAGCACATGGGATACAAAGAAAGGCAAGAATATCCCTGCCCTCAATCAAATGGGGG